TATACAGTATGTCTTAGTGGAGCGTGCAAGTAAGCAGTTTCCACATCTAAATGGTTAACTATATATTTCTTGCTTGCTGCCCACACCAAAGCTGCCCTTAATGTTGCTGCTTTAAGACTTGGTGCAAATACCTCATCATAGTCATTGGCACTTTGTCTAAAACCTTGGGCTACTAATCTTGCTTTATGGATTATATTTCCATCCTTATCAGTTTTTATCTTAAAAATCCATTTGCAGCCAATGGGTTTTATATCAACAGGTAATCTCGCATTTTCATATACTTTCATATCCTTCAAGGATTTCAATTCCTTATTCATTGCTGCATACCAACTTTCCTTATCTTTAGCAGGATACTTTTTTATTTCATCCACAGTATTTGGGACTTTATTTACCTGGCACACAGTGTTAGCCTGGTATCTTTCAGGCGGTCTAGATATTCGTGTAGTTCTTCTGGGAATTACAGGGCTTGTATGAGGACTTTTTTGAATTACTACCTGTTCATGTTCCTCATCTTGCTCAGCTATTGGTTCTATTTCTTCTTCTATGGGCACAATTTCTTCCTGTATTTCTCTCTTTACTTTATTTTTAAAGTTACAGGGATAATTAATGGGATTTCTATAGGATTCAATAATCACTTCGTTATTGTTATCCTGTTCTAACTTATCCCATCCTACGTGCTCTAGAAATTGGGCATTGGCACTACATAACACCTTAGATGTGCCTTTCTCCCAAAATCTATATGCCCTATGGTTAGCTTCGTAACCAACGAAGAATAATTGTTTAGCTCTGTGTTGCCCTTTATGCCTGAGTTGTGTAGGGATATGCACCCATGCTGGTGCACCAAATGTATGCATGTAACTCAGATCAGGCTTCCTGCCATGCCACATGGTGAATGGTATTTCACCAGTAGTTGAGTTAACAACGTTGTTAAATATGTTATTAGCACACATTGTAGCCTCCCCCCACAAAGAATCAGGTAATCCAGAATCAGTTAACATTGTTCTAACCATTGCCTGTAGTGTTTGGCCTCTTCTCTCTATAAATGCGTTGTGTTGTGGTCTGTATGGTGCAGATTTCTTGTGCTCTATTCCAGCTACCTTTAATCTATTCTGGAATTTGTTGTTAACAAATTCCGTACCATTATCTGTCACCAGGGTTATCAGTTTCCGTTTAGTCTTTCTTTCTGCAAACTTTAACCAGTTGAAGAAATGTTGATATGTTTCAGTTTTGCTTTTCATTAGGTAGCAAAACCCATATCTAGAGTAATGGTCCATAATGCTCAGTATATATCGAGCACCCCCCATACTGGGTTTCTTTGGACCTATAATGTCTGCAAATACTACTTCTAAAAGTTCTTTAGTTTTAAAACCATTTAGCCTATTTGCAGGCAATATTTTACTCTTATCTTCACAGCAGACATTACAACGCAAATATTTATCACAGGGTTTTAACCTTATTCCTTCAGATAACTCTACTGTGCGTTTTAGCATTTTAAAATTTACATGCCCCAAACGCCTATGCAATAAATGGATACACTCATTATGAGGCTTGATATTGTTAAATACAGTCTGTGCCTCCCCTTTCTTACTATCTTGTAAAACATATAATGCTCCATTTAAAGCTGCAGTTACCTTTTTGTTATCTTTTTCTAGTATGCACTTATTATCCTTAAATGTAACTACATAACCTAGTTTATCTAATACTCTTACAGAAAGTAAGTTCATCTTTAACTGTGGTACATACAACATTTTTATATTCTGGTTTAAACATGGACAATATGCAATACCTTCACCCTTGGCCTTGAGGTGCCAGCCATTCGCGAGTGATATATTTTGAGAGCTTGTAGAGATTTTTATAAACTTTGTCTTATCTCTCGTGATGCAGTGGGATGCACCACTGTCCACCACCCATAAATCATTCTTCACTTCACAGTTGCTAAACGTGGCTAGTTCAAAGGATTTCTTTGGCTTCTTTACATTCTGGCTTTTTCCTTTTCTGCAGAATCTTGCCAAATGTCCTCTGCCTCCACAATTAAAACACTTTTTAATTGTGTATGCCGTCGAAGATAAATTCTCTTCTTCCGGGTGCTTTACTTTACATAGCTGGTTTCTTTCAAGCTTTGAAGATAATTTCTCTTCTTTATTAGGTTTATCTTCTCTCAGCTGGTCACGTTCAAACCTTCTTCTGGCTTCTTCTAATAGCCTGCCGGTAATCTCAGTTACTGATAAACTGTCTTTTGGCAATACTTCTAAAGCAGTCACAAAATCATCATAGCTTCGATCCAATGAAGACAGTATGATGTATACTTGTTGCAACTCATTAAAGATAAGCTCTTTTTCTTGTAATTCCTGAAAAATGCTTTTCATACAGTTTAAATGAGTTAACATGTCTCCATTCCTCTCAAGATGTGTTCTAAACAGCTTCCGTGTAAGATTGATATGAGCTCCTACACTGTCTCGAACATAAATCTTCCTGAGACTCTCCCAGCAGTTTGCAGCATTTTCCTCTCCACGGATATGAATCAGTTGCTGGTCTGAGAGAGTCAGTCCTATGATGCATAAAGCCTGCTCATTCTTTCGTTCATAGTCTTGTATCTTTTTGGCATCCTCTTCAACAGTAGGATCTAAGTTAGATACATCTGGTGGGTTTGTTATTATGTCCCACAAACCTTCTCTTCGTAGAAGTAAACTACATTTCATTGACCATGAAACATAGTTTGTTCCATCTAGTCTGGATATCATGGACAGATTTGGCAAATTTACTTGTGCCATTGCTCTTTAGATAAACAACTATTCAACAAACAGTTTGTTTTTACAGTAATGTGCAACTCACACCAAAACTCTCACTGGTATATCCTGGTTAGTTAGACTGTGCGCACTGCTGGGCCCATAACCAATGTTAGTGTTTGGGGACAAACCCCCAAGCAGAGTGCACAGCAGCAGTCAAGCCAGGCAGCCAAATGAGAGAGAGGCTGGGCCCAAGAGTATACACACACTGGAGACAAAAACACTGTTTGTAGTTTTAAATAGTTGTTTAATTCATTTAGAGCTTAAGCATTGTCAATCAGTCCATATGTCATACACAAATATATCCATCCAGTAACTTAGTTCATTAAACTAGTCAGTACTATGTCTTTATCTGCTTGTAAATCTTCTCCTTCCGATACCTTTTTCTCGAAGACAACGCTGAGTATGCACAGGATATCAGCTCACCAAGTAAACAGTCCTTTTGTTCAGTAGGAACGGTATCCAGCACAGTAGCCAACAGACAGTAACAAACAGACGTCTCAAACAGGAGTAAACAGCAGGCAGCAGATAGCAGGGAGACCAGCAACAGTGACCAGTAACCAGAGACCAGGAAGTGTTACGTTTCTCTTACTGCCTTTTATTGCTGCTTGCAACCGCACCCTTAATTATCTAATTACATTGCAGTTTGGTGCTTAAAGCTACAAACACTTAAACCTAGGTTTATATATTTAGTCACCCAAACCTAGTTGGTGTATCCATATACCCAACAAAGTCTCTTTAACAAACATACACACTCCACCTCCTCTACACTTCCCCACATTTCTGTCTCTGTCCAGACGATGTAATAAAAAACCATCCATCTCAATAACAATGTCTGGAATAGTGGGGTTCAACCAGGTTTCGGTGATTAGCAACACACAACAGCTTTTCACGAACTTACTTGAAGAGACCTGTAGCCTTAAATCATCCATCTTATTTACCACGGATCTAGCATTAGTCAGAAAGAGGCTTGGGAGCGGTAGCCGCTTCATTTGTTTTTGCAGCCTGTACAAAACACCAGCCCTGCAGCCTCTTTTCTTGCCCCTTTCTTTTCGTCTTCTTTTCCTTTTCACTGGAGCCACAATCCACAGAGAGCCAGGGAGCCTTGCAATCTCTGACGGTATGTTATGTTTCCAAACAAACTTAGCTGTTATCTCTTGTTTACACTGCAGTCCAATCTTCATAAGCTCACAATTGCTGTAGAGTATGTTCACCCCGCAGGAGGTATTCACAATACAAGATAATCCACACAAAAACATCCATAAAAAATGCCAAGTCGAAGAGCACTGAGCTGCAGCATGTGAATGCGCGGCCATCTTACAAGATCCATCACCATGGACTGAGATATCACCAATATGCTGATGATACTCAGCTGTATGTCTCGACCTATGGTGAGTTAAGTGTTGCTGTGTCCTTCTTCTTGTAATCCTTGGAGGCTGTTAGGGGCTGGATAGGGAGTAACAAGTTGAAACTAAACCCTTGGAAGAATGAGTGACTCTGGGTTTGGGGTTTATTGGCTCAGGGAGAATTGCCACCTTTGGTCTTGGATGGGATGGCACTATCCCAAACAGACCCCATGTGTAATCTAGGGGTTTTCCTGGACTCATGACTCCTGCTTGAAGAGCAGGTGGTGGTCATGGCTAGGGTGGCCTTTGCGCTACTGCGGGTTGTACACCAGTTATGCTCTTTCCTGAACCAACAGTCCCTACTCAGAGTCACTCATGCCCTAGTCACTTCCTGTCTTGACTATTGCAATGTGCTCTACATGGGACTGCCCTTGAAGAGCATCCAGAAGCTCCAGTTGGTGCAAAATGCAGTGGCCCACATAGTTTTCTGCAGACCCCAGTGTGCACATGTATCATCTCTCCTGTGGGAGCTGCATTGGTTGCCAATTTGCTTCTGGGTGCAATTCAAGGTGCTGGCTGTCACCTTTAAAGACCTTCATGGCTTGGGACCAGGTTACCTGAGGGACCATCTCTTGTCAATCACATTTACCTGACCCCTCAGAGCAGGGAGCCAGGGAATGTTGCAGGTCCCATCCCCGAGGGAGATACACCTGGTGGGAAGGTCCTTCTCCGTGGTTGCTCCCTATCTCTGGAACATCATTCCCCCAGAGATTAGAATGACTCCCACTCTAACACACCTTCGGAAGGTGCTGAAGATCTGGTTCTGCCATCAGGCCTGGGGAACCCAGAGTGGGATGGAGCCCATTAAATGGCTCGTGTGATCTGCTGTCGTCAGGGCAGAGGGTTTGTGTGTGGGGGGGTGATTTTGTTATATTGTACTTTATTAATTTATTTCATTCTTTTTGTTAGTTTTTATTATTTTAAATGTGGTTTTATATTCTGTAAACCCCCCTGAGTTGCCATGGGCAATATCAATTCAACAAACAAACAAACAAATTAATTAATTCATCACAATGGTTTCTCAGAATGTAGAACTCCCAGGTCACTCCTATACCATTTTTGATTACCATGCAAAGATTTTACAATATTTCTCTAAGTGGTCAGTACTGTCTGAGAAATCTTAAAAACTGCTGGGTCATCTCATCCTAACATTAGCAGCCTTGGAAAGGCTTTCCAACTGAAACAGTTCTGCGATTAGCAATAATATTTCCTAGAATATATCTGAAGTACAATCTTATTGCTTTTTTCATATTTCCTTTTTTAGAGAGAATTTATGCTCCACTGAAGAAGCTCATCAAAAATTTATGAAAATTTATCCCAAGATCTTCATTAAAAAAAAGCCCATATTGCCAGGTATTCCTGAAAAAAGAACAACGGGGTAATTCATTTTTTAAAAAAATCTGTATTTAATGTAAAAAAGGAATCAGGCAATGATATTAAGTCAGTTGTCACCAACATGTGCCTCAAAACAGCTGTCAAATATAAAGATTAGTAGCTAGTGGTAAATTTATTTTCTGCTTGAACAGAAACATCTGTTTGTTGTTTCAAAGTGTATTTTGTCCTACCTCTGAGAAAAGCATGTCTAGTTCATAGTCCAATTTTGAGTCCAAGTTTTACATAGCCATGTTTTCCTCCTCATTATTGCTTAAAATTGAATCCATTAACATTGGAGACCATTCATAGTGTACTATCCATATAAATTAATTATATGTCACCATATTTTTTCTTTCACTGCAGTAAAGCATAGGAGAAGAAAAAGATTTTCAAAAATCCCACAAAAAACAAAACAAAAACCCAAATCACAATGCAAAAAGAGGAGCAATCTATAGTTTACAAGGAATAAATGCTGCAGTCCTATACTGCTGAACAAACTAATCCTAGAAGCTTTGTAAGATTTGGAAAGTATAAAGCAGGGCCCCCCAAACTCAAGCATGAAGAGAAGGCAGGAATGACCCCAGCCCTCTTCACAAGGCACACCTGGCAATTGAGGCTGAAGGAGATGCTGTGTGAAGGAGCATTTGTTGGAAACAAATGCTGAATTAGTAGAGTTTGGTGTTCCGGTACAGACATTTGGAGTTTACAGGACTGTTTGCTTCTTCCTTACTTGTGAATTCAGTGCCTTCTTCCTGACTTTGTGGACTCTTTGTTTGTTCCTTGGTTCTTGGACTCCTTGTTTGTTCCTTGGTTCTCTGTTCCTTTGTTTTGCTGAACTGTGCACGGTCAGAGGCTGCCGTGTGTGTGTGTGCTTTGCTCTGGGACTTGCCAAGAATGTGGGAGCGTTTGATGGGAAATTTGGAGCATTAGAGGGGAGTTTAAACTCTCAGCTGGCTGTGTTGCCTCTGTGCCATGCCCCGGGTCATCACAATCCTCCTTTTACTGACCTCTAAAGGATGGAATTGAGTCAACCTTGAATTGGTGAGAATCAGACTGCTGGCAATCAGCAGAATTAGCCTGCAATACTGCATTCTAATCATTGTGCCACCATTATATTTCTATGCGGGAAATATGAGCAGGAGGAAGCTATGGAAGGTGAATGTTAGTGAGAATAGTGTTCTTTCCAGATCACAAAGCCATCACATGCAGAGTGAAATCTCAAGCCAGTAGATAGTATTATTTGCATCTTTGTCTCTGACCATAATTGTAAATGATAAATGTTCCCTTCCTAAGTCCCTTTTAGTTGATTTCCATGACTGTGTGACATTTTGAAGCTCCAAAAGACTTCCTTTGTTGACTTCAGTCCCACAAGTTAGACACCCTCTTTCACCTTGAATATATTATTCTTAGTGCTTACCAGTACTAATTTTTGTATGCTTCATCCACAGTTGCCTGCCTTGGGATAAATTTTAACCTATTTAACTGTATAGATGCTGTAGTGCATCCTTAATATGAAAGTGGAAGTATAATACTCAACAAAACTGGATTTCTTCTACACGCTCCCCTTTTGCTCTAGGTTTTTGGATAAATAGCAGCGAAATAGCAGTAAAATGACAACCCACAGGCTTCATTATTGTTTGAATGGTCAAACATTTTAAAGTTAACAGTCTCTCTAGGTCAGTCCCCAACCTGTGGGCCATGGCCCAATACTAGGCTGTGGTTTATTCACAACTGGGTCATGTGAGTGGTGGGCCAGCATCAGAGATGGTATTCAGCATGTTCTGATCAGTTCTGGAGAACCAGTAGTGGAAATTTTGAGTAGTCTGGAATACTACCACTGACTGGCCCTGCTCCAATCTATTCTCTGCCTCCCAAGTCTCAGCTGATCGTCTGGGTCTTCTTTTGTTGCCCTGTACAGGAGAATGGAGCTTGAAAGCAGGTTAGTGGGGTTGGAAGGGAATGGGGTATCCTTCCCCTGCCACACCCAGCAAGCCATGCCCAGCAAGCCATGCCCACAGAATCGGTAGTAAATTTTTTGAATTCCATCACTGCCGGAATGCATGTGCTTCCACACAGTCCCACTTAATGCAAGTGGCAGGCACCGGCACTCGCAGCCCCACTTGCTCTGGTTCCACTTAGACTTAAGCAGGGGTTAACTATATGGGGTGGCTGGCCTTCTCCCTTAGATTAGTTGAATATATTTTTTTCACTCTCTTCAACTTCCTTTGTAAGTCATTTGAGCTGAAAAATCTAGTCTCCTGTTTGCCCTTGTTCTTCCCTTTTCAATAGACCCTCTCCAGATCTGTCCCAGCTCCATATCAGAAGTCTTGCCTCATCCTTTCCTCTGAGCCAATAAGTCTTCAGCAGAGCAAAGCTGCCTTTATTTATTTATTTATTTCCTGGCTTTTGGAAGGATGTAAAGATCTGGCTCTCAGAATGGCATACAATCCTGGGGATGGTTAAGGTCTTGAAGCCAGTTGTTCAACCTTTTATCTCAACAACTTAAAAGAAACTACCTTTGCTTTTTTACTTCACTCCCATTTTACTAATGTATTGTATCTTTTATATGGTTTTTATGTTTTAGCTGTAAACTACCTAGAGTTATTCCGAGAGTGAGTAAATTAGATAAATGAAATAAAAATAAATGCATTGTCTATTTCTGCAACTTATTTACCAACTCAGCTGTAGTGGATTCTAATATAGAATCTAATATATTACAGATATTAAAACAGTAGTAATGTTTTACTATTTAATGTTGTATCATTAAACCAGTAGCAAGTAGGTAAGAAATATGTGGCAAATATATATTGGCCATTGTGGCTCCACAGTTGGTCTCCAAAAGAAATTTTAGCGTTACAAAACATTTTTTTTTCTCCTTCATGCAAGTCTCCTTTTTAAATTTCCAGTTTCATTCTTCCCTCATTAGCATAACAGCAGCCCCCTTTCCTGTGAAAAAGTTTATGTTTTTAAGAAATATGCACTATGCTTTTTATTTGCAACTTCTATCAGCAACCACCACAAAAGCTGACTGAGCCTTGACATCTTGTCACATGTGCATAATTATAGAAATATAGATCTGCCCATTTTGTTTTAGAGTGGCTAAATTTCCCTAGTAGATTTTCTTTTATGTCCAGAGGCATTGGAAAAGCTACTTAAAAATCTTCCATCAGAATTTAATGCATTATTTATTATTACTGTCATTATTTATTTATATACACTGATCAAAAAAAATAAAGGGAACACTTAAACAACACAATGTAACTCCAAGTCAATCACACTTCTGTGAAATCAAACTGTCCTCTTAGGTAGCAACACTGATTGACAATCAATTTCACATGCTGTTGTGCAAATGGAATAGACAACGGGTGGAAAGCATAGGCAGTTAGCAAGATATCCCCAATAAAGAAGTGGTTTTGCAGGTGGTGACCACAGACCACTTCTCAGTTCCTATGCTTTCTGGCTGATGGTTTGGTCACTGTTTCTTATCCACCCTTTCTTATCCACTGTTACTCTAGTGGTAGCATGAGACGGAGTCTACAACCCACACAAGTGGCTCAGGTAGTGTAGCTCATCCAGGATGGCACATCAATGTGAGCTGTGGCAAGAAGGTTTGCTGTGTCTGTCAGTGTAGTGTCCAGAGCATGGAGGCACTACCAGGAGACAGGCCAGTACATCAGGAGACGTGGAGAAGGCCTTAGGAAGGCAACAACCCAGCATCAGGACCGCTACCTCCACCTTTGCGCAAAGAGGAACAGGAGGAGCACTGCCAGAGCCCTGCAAAATGACCTCCAGCATGTGCATGTGGATGCTCAAACGGTCAGAAACAGACTCTACGAGGGTGGAATGAGGGCCCAACATCCAATGCCAGGATGTTTGGCATTTGCCAGAGAACACTAAGATTGGCAAATTCGCCATTGATGCCCTGTGTGCTTCACAGGTGAAAGCAGGTTCACACTGAGCATATGTGACAGACGTGACAAGGTCTGGAGACACCATGGAGAACGTTCTGCTACCTGCAACATCCTCCAGCATGACCATTTTGGCAGTGGGTCAGTAATGGTGTGGGTTGGCATTTCTTTAGGGGGCCTCACAGGCCTCACAGCCTGCCAGAGGTAGCCTGACTACCATTAGGTACCGAGATGAGATCCTCAGACCCCTTGGCCCTGGGTTCCTCCTAATGCACGACAATGCTAGACCTCATGTGGCTGGAGTGTGTCAGCAGTTCCTGCAAGACGAAGGCATTGCTGCTATGGACTGGCCTGCCCATTCCCCAGACCTGAATCCAATTGAGCACATCTGGGACATCATGTCTCGCTCCATCCACCAACACCACATTGCACCACGACTGTCCAGTAGTTGGGAGATGCTTTAGTCCAGGTGTGGGAAGAGATCCCTCAGGAGACCATCCGCCACCTCATCAGGAGCATGCCCAGGCGTTGTAGGGAGATCATACAGGCACGTGGAGGCCACACACACTACTGAGCCCCATTTTGACTTGTTTTAAGGACATTACACCAAAGTTGGATCAGCCTGTAGTGTTTTTTTCCACTTTAATTTTGAGTGTAATTCCAAATTCAGACCTCCATGGGTTGCTAAATTTGATTTCCATTGATCATTTTTGTGTGATTTTGTTGTCAGTACATTCAACTATGCAATGAACAAAGTATTTAATAAGAATATTTCATTCATTTAGATCTAGGATGTCTTATTTTTTTTGAGCAGTGTATTTTTAATTTCATGTTTCAGTGTCATACATAGCATAAACTGAAGAGTAGTACTTGCATACTACTGAAACCCCTTATTTGGAGGCCATTCCAGTCCCACCTCCCATTACTTTTCCAATTGCATAATTCTGAGATATAGACGTGTTAGGCATTAAACAGACCAATGCATATTACAAGAAGGCATTTCCTAGTTAAGAGTTATTATACTCTGAATGTGAGACATTTTTCTAAACAATATGTGTAATCATTCTGAACATTCTTCCATTCATTTTGTTCCTCTGTCTTTCATATGCCCTTTCTATTCTCTTCATCTGTTGGGAATCTCTTAATTTTCACTGGTTAAGGAGCAATAGCAATAGCATTTAGACTTACATACCACTTCACAGTGCTTTACAGCCCTCTCTAAGCGGTTTACAGAGTCAGCATATTGCCCCAAACAATCTAATTAAGACTTAAAGCTATTCATATGTGTCAGTTTTTCTACAAAAACAGTTTTATGTTGAAATTTTATTCATGTTGGCATTTTTTTTATTATTAGAAGTCTTGTATAATAAAATGAACAGGAGGCAGTCATAACCAGATCTAATAGTATTCATTTCCCAGAGAGATAATTTTGATAGATTTGACAGCATAATAGTATACTTTTTTTTACACCTTTAGATCCTTGAGAAAAGCAGAGGAAGTTGTATAATTGCTCAAAATATGCTGCTCAATGATATTTAGCAAACCTGAAATCCCTTGGAAGAAGATTATCATGTGACAATATGAAATTTTCTTCATGAGAATGTATCATTTAAACTTTGATGTAATGTTTATAAAGAGAAACTGTCTAGAATATTGTACACAGTGTTCTATTGCCAGAACAAGATAGACTCGAGACCGGAGTTGAGTTCAGCTCTTTATTTAACTGTCAGTAACTTCAACTAAACTCGAGCCGCGGCAGCCTCTTTTATAGTGGCTGCTCGCGGCTCGCAACCAATGGCATTATTTTAAACCTCCCGCCGTTTGGGCGGCCAATCATAAACTGTTGTTAACCACCAGTCGCTAGGTGGTAGTGATTGTCCAATCGGAACGTAGTATTACGAGTATGAAAATGTCTATATACAACACACAGAAAGTCAGCCTCTTTGTTTTAGAAGGGCATTGAATGAAATATAGCTTTTCAAATTCTACTTTTAAATAGAAAGTAAAGCTTTTTCAGAATAATTTTGCTTACAAGTAAATTATGCATGTGCAAACAACTGAGAATACACACATTAATCTTAAAGCAATATATATAAAGGAGCAAGGCAGATGTTTACAAGAATGAGTCAGTTGATAAATTAAGTAATACATTTATATCACAGTGATGTTAATTTATTTAATTATAGCTAGATCCTTCCTTCCTTCCTTCCCCCCTTCCTCTCTCCCTTCCTCCACCATATAAAAATCAGCTTAAAATAATATTCTTTTAATAATTTCCAACTCTAACAAAGTTTGAATTTTTAATTCAAGTTTCAATGGCATTCTCATGAAATTTTATTTGCTTCCAGTTTTAAGATCTTTTTGTTTAAAAAAGGCTCTTAGTTTTCTACTTGTTTTTCTCAGATAGGGCATGTGTGTACTTTGCTGCTTCTGTTCAAGTTTTCTAGGGTAACTTTCTAATTTACCCCTTCTTATACAAAGATGGAAACTGACAGTGATGCTGACTGGCAGATTTGAGCTAGTCCATGGGAACTTTTTCTAAGTTACATCCCATCTTTTGTTATTATGCACTAAATTGAATGAATCATACAAAGCATACAATTGAAGATGGGAGGTAGGAAGTGATTGTGGTAGCAGGACAATGCTGGGAAGATAGGTGAGGGAAGACTAGAAGTAGAAAAGATGTAAGGAAGCTGGAAAAGAAATAAATAGCATAGTAGACATATAAGCCAGAGATAGGAGAATCAGCTAGGACCTTATTCTATGAATAACACCTCTGAAACTGGAAAGAAACATTTCAGATTATTCAAAAAGACTACCCAATAATTATCTCACAATAAATATAGATGGAAAATTTCTCATTCGGTTTTCAGAAGTCTGCTACTGAAGCTACTTTACTAAAAAAAAGTGTAGTTCTTGTTTCCTTGATCTTTCCCAATTATATGGAGCGTGATAAAAATAACTGTTGCCTAATTGAAATAACAGCAATCCAAAATGAGAGATGGGTGAAGTTTTTCAGACAGGTGTGGGTATCGGTCTCCTGAAGAGGAAAACAAACAATGGTAGTTGACCTTTACGGCAGTCTCACTTCTATTTTCTGTTCTAGTGTTTGTTGTATCTTTCTGCCATCAAAGTATTAAAAAAACACAAGGATTTTCCTTCTCATTACACCCAGATACACATAGCATTGCTAAACTTTTACTTAATATTATTTTGACCTTATATTTATACTGAAATCCAATCACCTTATAGGGAGATTGGTACCATAAAAATTTAATAAAGTGTAGTAAATTAAAAATTCCTATTCTTGAGTCCTGTTTTTTAAAAATATTTGTTATAGGGATTACTATCTTTTTTTCTTACCTTTGCGGAACAATTATTCAAAAGCAAAAATAATTCAGTAGAAAATATATTTCTTTGTTCCACTAGCAAGTCTTGAAGAACAATCAGCTGACTGGGTTTAAAGTATCAGAGGCAAATGTATATAATGGATTAGAACAGGCCAAACAGGCCTGCCGATTCAAAAGCCTGCCTTCTGTTTTTAAGAGAGATTAATCATGTAAATGTAGGAAGTTAGAAGTACATTCGACACTTTCTTCTATTTTTATTTTATTTAGAAAATTATGTTACACTTTTTAACAACCCTATAATAATAGTCAGTTATCAAAACTGGCAGTAACTAACATGTTAGATGGTGCTCCATTCAAAAACCAAGAAAGAAATACTCAGACTCCATTCATTAGAGAAAAGGTATCTTTTACTGGAAGTCAAGTGGTAGCAACAAAAGAATTCTGAATCTGAGAAGATGAGCGCGTAAATCACATATACAAAGTGATGGCAACGTTCCCACCCCCAATAGTTCAGTGGGCTCATCCAATTAAAAGTTGTGTATATCATCATGTGGGCATCTCCAGGTGGTGATGAGGCCTCTGTCTGTTGACCTTGACATATTTTGATAAAGAGCTGCAGCTGCACATAGCATAAGATAGAAGCCTAAGCAAGAACCTTCCCCCCCAACTTATACAGTTTTGTCTTGTAACACCTCCAGCTCGCTTCCCATAACCATGTCCCCCCTCCTCCCCCCGTTACTTATGACATCCGAAAGATGCAAAGCAAAGGAAGAAAATCTTGAAGGCTGACAGTTAACAGTTATAATTTTGTTTTAAATTATGAATGTAATTTCTTAGTAACCCATAATTTGTCACAGATTTGTCCTTGTTTTGGGGCTATTTATTTATTTATTTATTTATTTGATAGACATACAATACTGCCCATATCACAGTCATGACTCTGGTTAGCATACAATAACATCCAGTTGAAACAATTAAAACAACAGTTGAAAACAATTGGAAATTACAATTACAAATAAAAGCAGAATAAAAATAAAATTTGAGAAAGCAGTCCATCGTCCTACATACAATATAGCCATCATACCAGGCTTCTCATTTCTCCGTGATTCCCCCAAGCCTATTGAAAACAAATTCTAAATTTTCTAAATGCCAGTAAGGCCAGGACTAATCTTACCTCGAGGGAAATGATGTTCCAAAGATGTTTATTTTTTTAAAAAATTAAATCTCATTTTATTCCCCGGAAGCTCAAGGATAAGTATGCTTTAATAATAGCATTCTCTTTCTTTCTTCTGGTCTGTAGGGTACATTCCTGCAATTTCTGCACTGATGCTGTAACTGCTGAAAGTTTTCATAACATACATTTCTATTTGAATAAGATGAAAAGTCCCGATAGGTTGCAGCCCAGCTTTCCAAAATCCCGAGAGAGTGTGCACAATTTAATAAAAATACTCAAGAAAATGTAAGTATCAAATTTATTCAGAGCTTTCTATGACTTCTTTTGGTGGATACATAGAAGCAACTATTTTTCAAAATATATCCTTTAGTTGGTACACAAACTTGCTATATAAACTTTATGAAAATTTATTTTTATGGCTATATGCTAATATCATAGTTTTAAATGATTGTCCATAACATACCTAGATAATTTATCTTTAATGATACCTTGCATCTTTGCAGTAGAGATCTTGTGGCACTGTTAATTGGCTAATAGTATATTAGCATATTAGCTATATTATAGTAAGATAACTGAATTTGCAACATACTACTTCATTGCAATTGGATTATTCAAGGCTGGCTAATGCAAGCCATTATTTTAATGTTATATGCTTTCTATACTAAGGTGGAATATTGTGATATTAGATGCTTAAAAGAAGTTAATCTATATATTGTAAAAAGATTATAAAGCTGATGTGAATTTTGACATGTTTTTAATATATGCTTTATGACCAAGTGGTCGAAGACATTTTACAAGGATGTCACAAAGTTCTGTGGCCTTTTATTGTAGACCTTTCAGTATCTCAGTATTAATGGCATACCCCATATGATTGTTAATAATCTTTTAATGTATAAAAGACAATTTATCTCTGAGATTGACAATATAACCCTTCTGTGGACAACATAATTGAACGTTCTGAAATGGGATATCAGAATACTGGGGAAGGTTTCTCTTTCATCAGTGAAATTCCCCCTTACTCTTTAAAGTATATAGTTTAAAATTTGAATTTGAATTTCAGTGTCGTATAATATACCTCTTTATTGCTGTTAGATGATCCAAAGATTACTCATGCAAGCCATTATTGTGTAGTTGTATGCGTATCATATATTATTGAAAGTGATGGTTCAATATCCTCAATTTAGAGTTACGTACCCTGATTTAGAACAGAACTACATTGAGAAATTTGACAAACAAATTGGGAAGGCATTCTATATTTTTCCTGTTGATAAGAACAGGAACTTCGATGTATTCCATGCCCCCTTTAATGTTCTGTTGTTATATTTGCTTGTTTCTCTTTCTATGCTGATCCAGGAAATTCTGGAAGTTGAAGTCCACATATCTTAAAGTTAAACGTTGAAAAAAGCCGATATAGAGAATAATTTGAAGTGGGAATACAAGTAAATAGTTCAAATGTGTTCTTTAATATAAAATGTATGTATGTATGTATGTGTGTGTGTGTGTGTGTATATATATATATATATATATATATATATATATAT